GATTTATTTTCTAGAATATTTAAGAAACATACAGCTCTATAATTTAATATGTCTGGAATGAAAACCACTGCCTACTTTTCTTTTGATTTTCAATTGAAAACCTATATTAAATATTCCATAAATAGATGGAGTATAAGATAAAATAAATTTGAGTGTTGACATTTTTGATTTCTGTGAAGCCTGTGAAGGTTAGAGGAGAGTAGTGATACATTGGTATGTTATTAACACGCCACTCGCCGCGGTCGTACCGCCACACAAATAATACTCCACTACTCTCTTTCAACCCAAACTTAAAAGTGGAATATCTCGTCAAAGAATCGACAAAAATTAAAAATGTCAACATTCAAATGTATTTTAACTAATACCCCATCTATTTATGAGTTTTTAATATAGGTTGCCGTTTCAAAATCAAAATTAGGTAATGGTTTTACCTCCAAAAATAAGGGTGTCAAAAAATAACATACATATACAATTTTAGAGCAGCTTTTTTTTTAAATTTTCTAGAAAATAAATTCCAAAAAACTTAATACTTTTCGAGATAATGAGTGTACCCACTTAAATGGATCACCTTGTAGTAGTCATTACTAACATCTATCTATTTAGCATGCTTCAATCCTTCCTCCACTGAACGTTTATTTATATTTATTAACATTTTTTGTCAATTAATATTTAGTAATTCTACTTATTTCATTATATTTGTTTTACATATATTTCATCAATTTTTAAGTGCTGTAAAAATTTCTTCCCAACGCAAAAAATTAATCTTGATTTTATGATATTATGTACTACAACCATAGAACAAGACTTATAGGAGTATGGCATATACATATGTTATTATGTACTAAAACATTAGCCAAAGTTCTAACAAACAATTGTAGAATTTATAAATCAACATCACCCTAATAAAAAAAAAAAAAAACTTTGGGACCATTGAATGGTACGCCCGTCAACAATATCATTTATTTTTTTTACATTTATTTTTTTTTTTAGCTGTGACCTACGAATTAATTCGCACTATTTCGTACAAACGCTGTTGCCAATAATAAACTCATACCTGCATTATATTATGTTTATACCAATATTTTCTTTATGATTTTCCCATCGAAATAGAACAAACTTTCTAAATAATTCAATTAAAATATGTAAGAGTATATTGTAGGGTATGGTATTTATAGGTATAGGAAGCTAAGCGTTAAGACGAACGAAATATAAACATTCATTATAAACTACTAGAATTTAATTATTATGACGTGCAATACAATAATAATATTATATCCGAGAAAACAAAACAGGGAGGGGAGACTGAGTACTAGCAGTTATTAAAACTTTTATTAGTATCTTTCAGTGCGTTTTATTGCTTTTTTTGCTTTACGGATCAAGAAAAACTTTTAATTTTATATTATATTTCACCTCTTGAACAATATATAATTTGTATCCTGGTGTACAAATAGGTATAAACGATATTTTATTTAGAAATTACGGAAACTAAGTATAGTGTTGACTTTTCTTGTCGATAATTTTCGAATTTTGTAGGCTAAACTGACAATAGGTCATCCTACCCTTTAATTTATCGATTATTAATTTTTATTCAAAATGCCCGATAAGGCACTTATAATACACTTACCCATGCATAAGAATATGAGAAGAGAATATAACTGGAGAAAATATTCTTAATATTTTTGTGAAGTTAAAGTTATTGAAAGTCTCAGTGCAATTGCAAGACAAGTCCAATCATTTTTTATTGTTAGTTTCAAGTAAACCAATAAATGCTACGGCATTATTTTGTGTAAGAATAAAGCGAGTCCATATAAAATATATGGGAAAAATAGTAATAAGGGCTTGTCTAGTTCAATCCTGGGCAAAAATAAGACAAGTCCTATAAATAGGTAGTGCTTTTTCTTTCTGCTAAACTATTTTAAAAAATTAACTTGCCTTGATGTTTCACTGAGCCCTAAAATTGTCAAATGGATTAAGTGAGTTACGATAAAATTCCTATACTAAAGATTTCTTTGATACAATTTGGTAGTTTTTAAACTTGACTAAATTGGAATAGTAAAGATTTAAGAATATACAACAAAATAGGCAGTAACCACGTAAACACGACCGTGTTGATAAGGTTTGTATCTACCATAATTATTAAAAAAATTACTCTATAATAATATCTATATTTCATTTAAAATCATGGTCATATGTAGTATGAATATAATTAGAGCTCGGATGTTTATGACTTAGCATATTTTTTTCGCGCAACCAGAATTACACCGGAGTGTGATTTAAATTTGTTTCATGATGTCAATGCTACAAATAGGCAAACTTGTTTTGCACATTTTTGCAAATTTGAAATTTTTGAGCACATAAATGTTATATATCATTTCTAGATTTAGTGGCATATTTATAATATTTCAAATATAAACATAACACTTTATACGGACGGCTATAATTCGTTGGAAAATAAAAACTTATATATTTATATCACTATGTATACATATACACGAATGTTTAAATCTTCTGTCGAAGATCATTAATCATTATCTAATCGTCTATCGATAATAGACTAATAGTATAAATATAGGTAAGTATATTAGTATAGATTGACTGCTTGCAGTACACTCTGCGTGGTGGGATTTATCTACGATTTCGAGGAGTTTATATTTTTATTGACATTTAATATTTTCAAATAGCTGCTATCCGCGTATTCCATGCTGTGTTTATTCAACTATACAATTTTTATTCTAAAAATCTTATCTACAAAACGATAAACAATTTTTTTTCTCTTCAAATATCTGGAAGCTGGATATTTAAAATAACAAATTTTCCATAATATTCGTTTAAAATTATACTATTGTACAACGTGAACATATTTTACACACATTTCATTTGAATTATAACACGTTTGAAAAGTGTTTTCTGTATACCTGCCCCGCAAAACTGGATTTTATATATTACATATTATACAATTTAAGGACGGGATATGTGTCGGCGGAGAAGGGATAGGAAAAAAATCTCATCGCTAAACGTTTCCCCGGAAAAACCGACAGTACAGCTTAACGCTATGATTTTTTTTTTCAAGTCATCCTTTTCAAATCGTTCTTGAATAATTCATGCGGACATTGTGTATCTGTCTCGGTTTTTTTGTGTCGTCGGACGTTGCCCATTCGATCGGCAACGGTTCGCTGCGCAAAATAGAACGACTACGACGGACAATTTACGCGGATATAAATAATAATAATATGTGCTCTCGCGGTGTTTACCATGAAATGCCGACACGTCTCGTGCACGAGAAATTGGATATTTTACAGGTTTTTTCTTTTTTTTTTCTTTAGTTTTGCGGTCAACATTACTTTCGAGTCGTGTTTGAGTTCACAGCATTACTATGTAAAGACGTATTTATTCAAATATAAAATGTATAATAATGTATTCGAATAATTTATTATTTTTATTACTTTGATTATTTGATTACTGTTTCGAATATTTTTCCTAAAATTATTATTGAAAAATCAATTCGGAAATATCCCTATTTGTCACCTTCGTGTCAAGAGATATACGTATTAATTGCCCTCAATGTATATGTACAAATTTAAGAAACAAGCAATATTAAGATGTTACATTACTGTTATTTGTATTACCTATATTTTTAGGAGTAAAACCATTTTTTATTTTAATTTTAAAATAGCTACCTGTATTACAAATTCTATAAATAAATGCAATTTTAGTGTTAAAATCTTCAATTTCTGTCAACTGGCTGTCAAGAGATTACACATTTAAGTTAAGGTAAAGGGAAAGTAGTGGAGCATCGTTTATGTGGCGAGACACATAGCGTTAAATAATGCTCCACCACTTTCATCCTACTCAAATTTAAAAATAAAATATCGCGTTAACGGGTTGACAAAACTTTAAAAAAGTATGAGCATATGGAACCTTCCCCTACATATTATGTGTCGTTCACTTAAGTTTTATAAAAATGCTATATAAAGTACAGAATAATATTAATTTTTTACAATTTTTTTTTTTGAATTACTATGTAACTCTCGTGTTACGCATGTCAAAACAATTAAATTTGTAATAAAAAGTAACCACGTAGTTCTTTCTCACTGAAACAACGCCACTGATTGGCTGTATTTATAATATAGTTTATCATATTTTATCGATTCGATGGCAATTTTTCTTATTGCTAGGTTTACGCCCATCATTTTGTGTGTATGTGTAGGGACTGTGACGTTTGATTGAAAATTAAAAATAATTAATTACGCGTATCTGGAATTTAGAAAAAAAAAATCCATTAATTAAGTATTTGGCAGTTGGTTGAACAAATTCTAAAAGCAGAACACCGCCATTAAATATCAGAAACAAACACGCGCGTATCGATTGATACCGTTTTTAAGGCCACGGAGACATTTGTACTAGTGGTTATCAAACAAAAAGGTTTTTGAAAAATTTTTTATAGAATTCACTTTATATTATTCGTATGGGCTTAACATGAATGAATAATTCATCCATTTTTAACCATAATATAATCTAAATACCTAATTGTAATAAAAGTAACGATCGTACCAAAATGTATAACTATAATACACATAATAAATTTTTTGTACTTTGCATTGTTTTCGAAAGTTTGCTGCCTGATACTTGTATAGTAGTTACAAATCCGTTTCAAGTACATTTAAATGAGAATAATTAATTTGTTTCACATATTTTGAGTTTTTTAGAGCTTCTTAGCGTTTTTACATTTTTGGATAAATAATTTAAAATTTAAACTTTATTTTAAGATTGTTACACGCTAACATTATTTTTGTATTTAGGTAATATTTGAATCACATGTGCCGCGTTCCAACGGATATTTTTGCTGTTAGCAGTTTTGTTTTTCTTGTATTTTTTCTTGTTTAGAAACAAGCTAAGAATTTTCTTATTTTTAAAAATAACATATATATGTACAAAAAAAAAAAAAAAATATAACAATTTACAAGTGTGCCCTGGAATAGTTAATGGATGGGGCACTATTTTCAGCTTTGTTTAATATGTTTCGGAGGTGGTCCAATTGAAGGTATTTGCTGTGTGGCAAAAGCATGAAACACTTCTGCTATTAGATGTGGGTGTGATTGAATCATAGTTTTCCACCCAATAGTTTCTATTACGTTAGTTGCATGAGTATTAATATAATAGATTGTTTGTACTTTTAATTGATCGGCACTGTAAACATCGGCTAATATTAATATATCTGTCACATTGTCGATTGACAGGTTATTACAGAGTGCTTCTTCGCACATGACTTTCAGACTTTCTAAAGCATACTTGTCTGCTGCCACTAATAGGTCGTTCGCCATCCTTTTTAAATTTTCCGCTCGACCAGTGTAGATAAACCTGAGCATTTCTCTGAGGACCTCATGGTCTACATCAGTTATGGTAACACAGTTCTGTTTTCGTTCTTTCATCTCGTGCTCAAACATTGCGGCAAATACGGGACTTCTCGCAGCAAGTATAGCTTTATGCGCTTGAAATTCACGTCCATTAATAGACAGAGTTACGTCACTAAATTTTTGTACTTCGAATAAATTTCCTAAGTCATTGGGCAAATGACATTCAGGTACTTTCAACTGAATTGCGTTATACGGGCCGGATATCTGGACACTACCAGTTATAACCCTTACTTCACAAAATATTGTAAGATTATCATCGGGTAAAAGGCTGTTGGTTTCGTCCAACAGGAAATCACGTTTTATGAACTTTTTAAACCCCCAACAATTCTGTCCTTGTATGAATCTGTTGGCCTTTTGACTCTTCTTAATTTTGGTTTCTTCCCGTTTAGCGTTTAATATTGAGAATTTGTATTTTGCTCTAACTACTGCAGTTTTGCGGCTTGGAAATAGTGATAAAAATAAAGAAAGGTAATTTTTGTTTTCTTCAGTCATATTGCATGATGATAGTGATAAAAATAAAGATAGGTAATCTTCGTTTTCTTTGCTTACCCCTTTAGGATTCATTCGTAAACACCATTTTAAATTTTTGTTCATGCCGGCAGAAAATGGGTTCGATTTTAAAACTTTCTCACAAAAACTAAAGTTGTTAATTGTCCACATACAACTATATTTGATGATTTTTGCCTGTGTGTAGCACCAATTTTCCGCCATGGGCGTATTCGTTTCTAATGATGTCGGTGAGCTTGGTAGCTGGGAATCAGACATATCGATGATTTAATCTTTAATCTAGAAACAGGTTATTAGTAGAATCATTTTAATGCGAATAAAAATTCTTGACAAAAAATATGTTTTAAAATAAATATTATGTTATTACTATTTATTGTTGTTATGTTATTCAATGCTTTCAAGGCATTTAATTATAAAATAAATAAGTACATATTTATATTATATAAATTTTTGTTTTGGTTTTGCTGCAAGAATTGAAATTTCGCTTTACTTTATAAAATTACGTTTTAAATAATTTGTATTCTCTCCAAATGTCGTTCAAGTAAAGTAATACTTTATTTTAAAAATAAATGTGTTTTTCCAAAGGGAGAAAAATGATCAAGACTACAATAGTCTTACAGTGTTGGTTTTGTTTTGATCTTGGACAATCATAACGTTTTGCTCGTCGGAGAATATTATTACCTATCATTTTTTTCTGCAGCGAACACGACGATAAGTTATTATCGTGTCTTCGATTTAATTAAGTGTGTGTATCAGAAGGTCGTTCATGTAGAAGTATACAATATGCAGTGATTTGTGGATATCTGCACCGACAAACACACTACTGTTTTATCTCAATACAGAATACTATCTACATACATACATATACAGTGTTCCACGAAATTCTTACAAATGCAATGACTTTTATTTTGTTAAAAATTTGTGAGTTTTTATTTCTTAATAATTACTAGAAAGTTACACTATAATTCTTATATTATTTAAAAAAAACTGTTTTTACAAAATCTAAAATATTAATTTTGTACATTTATTTTGGAATACAATTTTCCTATTATACGACTTTTTTATCTACATTTTTTTGAAGTTTACAATAATTAAAAATTTTAATATTGTTATTACTAAATAATGTCCATCAATTCTGTTGTTAAATTATGTTAAAAAATTATGTTGTTGTTGATTTATGGAAACTTTATTATTTATAGTTTTAAAAACTATATGATATACAATAATTAAGGTTATATTAGTAGTTTTTACAAAAAAAAAAAATAATAATAATAATATTGAACAAAACAAAAGTTAATATATTTATCAGGTCACCAGGGGATACCCTGTATAATATACTTACGTGTATAAATATATTATCTCAAGACCGTCGTCCACATCGACCGCTAGAAAGATTATAAGAATATTCTTCAATCTGCACGATAAAAAATGCAAAAATAATCGCTTAAATCCGTCAACTTGTCAAAACGACACCTATACATAATATTATTATATTTTTCCAATTTCAGTAGTTAAATGAATCGTATAATATTGAAAAATTAATATTTTTATGATCAAATGATATTATTGTTTTAATGAAACATACAAATTATTATTATTTATATTTCGTTGAAGATTATTATATTACGTATTATATTACTAGGCGATAAGTATCGTTATTTAATAGCCACACCTCGTACTATGTATGCAAATAATTCACTTATTAATCAATTTAAAAAAAACTCCATGCAGTCACGCTTGCTTTTTACGAAACTTTTGACACGGCTTGATACACGAATAATAAAGAACTCATGTATAACAGTATAAGAAGTTGTTACAAACATTTTTCCATTTCGATTTTATTGTATAAATTAATCGATTAACTGCTAATAAAAGGTTAAAAAAAAAAAAAAAAACATTAGCAGGAATTTCAATTCTATACCTGACTTTTTTTTCAAAATTTAAAATCATTAGGTATTCCAAAACTTTCTTGTAGTGCTACAAAATTATAACTAATAACTGTTATACTCATAATATAATAACACACCTTATAATTTTGTAGACAGTGTATAATCAGCATATACCGATACATTTATCTTGATAAATATATTTTTTATCTTATAACTTATCAGAATAAATGGGAAATATCCTGCTTCATGAGGACCCTTCCACTTAGTCCTAAAGATTTTAAACTTTCTTTGATATTTTTCAATTTACTAAGCTTTGAAATGAATTAAACCTAAATTTGCATAATTATTATGTTTTCTACGAAAGTCAACTTTTTTTTTAGGATTGGATTGAAAATAGGTCTGAAAAATGCAGGACCATTCAAATGTTTCTAGAAATTATTTCACTAATCTTCATACCAAACGTACTATTATATTATTATTTTTGATAATGGGTGAGATGGATGAGTGAAATATATTACAACAATGTTCACTATTTGTTTTTATTTTTTAAATCCCTACATTACACATTTTCATTACGATGTCGTTAATGTACCTACGTTATTATTATAATTTCCTTATTAAATCAATCATTACAAATTGAATATCGAAACGATGAATATTGATTGTTCATAAAAACATTAATATTTTATAAACATGATTATCGTAGTTAATTTAATTATCATAATGTATGGGAATTAGTATATCATTAAACAACATTACAGCTAAAAAAATAAAAATATAAACGCGTTTATGTTGCCGAATCATTGAAATAAACAATTAAAAATGATTAGTTAACAAAATATACACCACAACAATATATCGGCACTCATTACTATGCGTATTCGATTCTTGTAACGAAATAATATACTTTAAGAAGACAATGAATTTATTTTATTCAACTCATTAATAATAAGTAAATGTGTTTTAGTGATAATTAAATACGCATTAAATAAATAACGTATAGAATTTAGTATTTTCGTGATTAGAAATCAATATTTTTTTATTCTATATTCTGCTCATAAGTAGGTAACTGCTATTGTCTCTAGGAAGTTGAAAAAATAGGATATTATTTTACATCAACGTTTAGATCACAAACTATATGCAAATAAAAACCGATTCCGATCGGAGTTTAATAGGTTAAATATTTGTTTAATAAATTTGAATTTAAAATGGTATTCGTTTGTAACTATACAAAATAAATTACAATATTGTTTCTAACGAGTTTTTATTTTCGGGAATTTGAAATTAAAACACTTAGAAAATTTTAAAAATAAATCACAATATTACGTCCAAGTATTTCGAGTTTATATGATTATATTTCACTACAGAACTAAAACAAATTTTACTTAAAGAAAAATCATTAATATTTCCGTTTATTTTAAATTTTTTCCCCTATTATTAAAAAAAGTACAAGGTAATTCAATAAACCGACCTTTCAATACACCTGCAATTAGATAATATTTGATAAGTACCTACTGTAAATTATCCTTGATGCTGATGATGGGAGTAAGACTTCTAGTCAAAAAAACTTGTTCACGGAGAGAAGAATATAAATATTTTAATAAGTACATTATTTATTTTTGTGCGACAATTTAACAGTCCTTTTTAAGAAAGATAATTTTTATACGTTTAGGGATCGGAATTTATATTAAATACTTCTCAAATAACTAAAATAACTATCTAAAATTAAAAATGAGTATTAAAAATACTACTATATAGTACCTATAATCTATATAGTTATTCAAACTAATAGTATTATTTGTGTAGTATGTTATTTAGACTAAAATTATAATCGAAATCGTAAATATTTGTAGGTTTTCACTATGTGTTGTATGAAATCATTTTATTTCTAGTTTGTTTATTTTTGAATTGTTAATCTATTCTTAAGGATTTTAAGTTATTTTTAGTACTACAAAATTACTCTATTCCTATGATTATTATAATAATATATTTAATCGCATTATAAACATAACCATAACTTTAATTATTTGTATTTACTTGTATATAATAATTTTATTAATTATTTTGATACATGATTATCCCGATCGTGTATATATTTTTACGTACGTTCGGATACATTTTATATATTATTTTAAATAAAAAATGTATAAAAAATTATACCCATTCCGATGCATCATTCGTGCGCAAATCTAAACAAAAATCCTTAAAATAAGGTAAGGAAACGACAATTTATTACAAAAAACATGATAACATACATTTGTATGTTATTGAAAATACAACCTTAAATATTATACATGCTGAGTTATGAAAAATTAATACGTGGAACAAAAATATCCGAGGAAAATAACTGCGTGTCTTATTTTGTGTGTATAGGTATACCTATTAAAAACACTTGTTTCGGATTCATAGAACAATCGCGGCAGTCGTTTGCTTTTTTTGTACGAGCTAATATAATGATGTTTTAAATAGAATTTAAAATGTTTGAAAACATTTCGTTATTTCGTTTATGAACATCGCATCGTAATTATTTCAATAATACGATACCTATTTTAAATAATGGTATACGAACAGAACGATAATAATGTATATTCGGTTTTAAATGTTTTAGAATAGCCAGTATAATATAATACATCACTAGTTTTAGGTTGATTTAGGTCGTTTCGGTTTTGTTTGTACAAATTAAAATACGGTATTAATTGGTGAAAAAATAATTGTAGAGACCCGGAATTTTCACTAAGTAATATAAATATTTTCTAGTCGTGGTAAAATTTTCAAAATATTCCGAATTTTTTTAGAGCAGGTAGGTACCTAATTTATAGCTATTACTTGATATCTTCGAATTTTTTGGTTTTATATATGAATTGTATTGTAATTTATTTTAAAAGCGTTTTTATTACAAACGTATGACAAAATTCTTAGAATCATGAACATATTGTAATTTATTTTGTCTAGTTACAAATCAATGCAATTTCCACTATAAATATACCAATAAAAAAACTGAACTCTACTTCGAATCATTATCCTATCTACAACAATAGCCTACTTTTATTTTTCAAACATAATATTATAAAATACGTCTAAATATAACATAAAATAATTATCTAAATTCATACCAGATGCAATTGGTGTACGCTGTGTTGCATAATATTATTGACCTTCTAACGGCATGAGTTTTACGCGCGTATAATATACAGTAATATCATTTCAAAGATATATTTCTACGGTATTGAAAGTCTAAGACCTTAATCGTCTAGGGAGTGTGTCTTTGTTCGTGTGCAACAATATATCGAATCGACGAATCCTCCCCCCTCTTCAATCGTCTTCTAACCACTCCTACTAGTCCCGTACGCTTTCGAAGGACGATACACA